TTCCTCCGTAGGGTGGCCGGGCTCAGCCTTAGAGATAGGGTAAGGAGCTCGGTCATCAGGAGGGAGCTTGGAGTAGAGCCGCTACTCCTTCGCGTCGAAAGGAGTCAGCTGAGGTGGTTCGGGCATCTAATTAGGATGCCTCCTGGACGCCTCCCACTGGAGGTTTTCCAGGCACGTCCAACTGGGACGAGACCCCGGGGAAGACCCAGAACACGCTGGAGAGATTACATCTCCCAGCTGGCCTGGGAACGCCTCGGGATCCCCCAGATTGAGCTGGAACATGTTGCCGGTGAGAGGGAGGTCTGGGTCGGCCTGCTTCACCTGCTGCCACCGCGACCCGACCCCGGATAAGCGGTGGAAAATGGATGGATGGATGGAAATTGTTTTAAGTGTCAATCAATCGGCCACTTGCTATTTCTTTATTTAACTGTCTGCGTTTCGTTACCAGTGCTCCCTGGCCTGTCATAAGAAGTGTCTGGAGACGCTTGCTATCCAGTGTGGCCATAAAAAGCTGCAAGGCAGACTGCAGCTGTTTGGTATCGACTTTGCCCAAGCAGCAAAGAACAGCCCAGATGGTGTCCCTTTTATCATCAAGAAGTGCGCGTCTGAGATTGAGAGTCGAGCCCTCAACATCAAGGTAAACTTAATTTAATGTTTATTGTTGCAACTTGGATTGCTGTACTTTTTCAAGCGATACACTTTGGAGACTTACCTTTTAAAAACCATAGTTTGGCTCACGTCTTTGATATGCCGTGATTATCTGTTACAGTAGAAATGTAACAATCCGTGCGCCTGTTTTTCCCTCACAGGGGATTTATCGTGTGAATGGTGCCAAATCACGCGTCGAGAAGCTTTGCCAGGCGTTTGAAAATGGGAAGGACTTGGTGGAGCTGTCGGACGTCTCGCCTCACGACATCAGCAATGTCCTCAAACTCTACCTGAGACAGGTGGGTGTTAAATTCTTACTGAACACGGTGGGTAACTTATGTTAATGTAAGAAGTCCTGAATGCTTAAATGTGTGATATAGTTGGTGAGCTTTTGGCTTTTTCTCTTTTTATTTGTACCTTAAATAAACATTGTATTCAGTAAACATACACTGGAACAGTTTCCATTGCTAAGAATATAAAACATATCACTGTTTCTCTTTTGTGTACAGTTACCAGAGCCATTGATCCTGTATCGATACTACAACGACATCATCGGCTTGTCCAAAGAGTGCCAGAGAGTGATTGTGGAGGAGGCTGATAAACCTCGGAGCACCCAGACAGGAGAGAAGGGGGGGGCAAGCATTCAGCTCAGCAGAGTCATTTTCAAGATCAGAGACCTTCTCCGCCAGCTGCCTACAGCCAATTACAGGACTCTGCGCTTCCTTATTGCACACCTGAACAGGTAAGGGCGGTAAGCCAACACCCAGAGCTAGTCCATTGTAAGGATTTCTGTCTGTTGCTCTCTGCACAAATACACAGACACTCAAACTTCCTCATGAGACACAAAGGGGAAACGGAGACTTCCCTATAGTACAGAGGAAGTAGCACAAAGTACATAAAACTCTATTCATGGTGACACCAATAATTTTAGAATGAACATTCTTAGCCTCTGTCCTTTATTTGAATGTTGTGGTTTTCCAGCGTAGAAGTATTTGGTGGTGTTATTGTATTTGCAGAAGTAACTGCAGAGACGTTTCGATCATGTCATGTCAAAGAAATGCTTTGGATTGTTGGCAGCCTCTTGAGGCAGGTTTCATCTTTGAGACTATTGTCCCTGAAGCTTGTTCAGTGAAACCTGTACTCGCATCTTATGGGAAACACTGACATACTTGAACAATACCTGAAATATGTCTTTTATTAATTAAACTCATCATCACTCTTTACTACCACAGAGTGACCGAGCAGGCCGAGGAGAACAAGATGACTGCGAGTAACCTGGGCATTATCTTCGGCCCCACACTGGTCAAGCCACGGCAGGCGGACGCTGAGGTGTCCCTTTCCTCGCTGGTAGACTACCCCTACCAGGCCCTGATGGTGGAGTTGCTGGTGCGACACTTTCAAACAGTCTTTGATGCATCACTTTTGTCCGGCTCTGACATCACCACGACTGGCCAGGCGTCCCCCAGACTCACCCCCCTAGAGAAGCTGCAGCGGCTCAGCAGACACTCCACCTCCCTGATGGACATCAAAGAGGTGAGGACGGATTTAATAAGGGTGCGAGAAATGCTGCTTTCATATCATATTGTACAGAATGCGAGTATGAGCAGCCAAGTGGGAAATAAATGTTCAAAAAAAGTTGCTTAAAGCCTTTGGTGGCTCCACAGGGAGCTGGATGAAGTCTAATAAATTGCATCTTTTTTTTTTTTTTTTTTTTTTTTTTTCTTTTTTTTTTCAAACTGTTTTTATGATGTATGATAATGTATATTTAATTATTAAAGCAAGGTTAAATTCATTGAATACAAATTTGATGTTCAGAGATTGTAATCTAAATGTTTATTATGTCCTTTCAGAGTGCCAAAGTGTACAAAAGATACTCCTCAGTAATCCCTTCCTCGCACATCATGGATGAGGTTCAGGAGGTCCAGCCCGGAGCAGACGGAACAGAGGTCTCAGCCCTGGACAGACTCAACGGGATCCAGGCGTCTAGTGAAGGCGAAGTCCAGAGGTCGACCTTAGTGTTCGGCCGCCCCAGCACCACCGCTGTGGCGCCAAAGGTCCAGCTACGCACCCAGCGCGCCAGACATGTGTCTCGACCGATCAGCATGCCGCTAGAACGCCTGCCCAACCCCGCCCAGATCAGTGAGAGGAATTACCGTAACAGTGCTGCTAAAGATGATGAGAGTTCTGCTGAGCGGGACCCGATCTCTGAAACTATACCAGAGATACCAGAGCCAGAAAAGGCTCGCCAGAGTGGCTCATCAAGGGTTAGCACCTACTACATCACTCCTTTCATTGACACACAGACAATGCAGAGGAGAACGTGGGACAGGAAGTACAAGCACTATGATGTTACACCCAGGACTGCTAAGATTGTGGCCAACCTGCCGTCTGTCTGCTCTGGAGTACAACCTGTGAAGGCAACCGTGCCTGTCGCAACAACCACCGCGTCTGAGGTCTCCACCACATGTACTGCGACCTCCGTTTTCTCCAACAACCCCTACACCATGTCAGTCAAGCCTGGCTGGACTTCTAAAAGGGAAAATTACGCAGATGGTTCAGTCAGTGAGTCTAGCAGCTCACCAAACCTTCTGTTATCGCTCAGGGCACCTAGAACTCTGCAGCCTCCTCCCGGAACTTTCTATAAGCCCCCTTTGTCCATTAACAGCAGAGCTAGGACGCTTCCAAACTGGACTACAACTGTTACCACCACCACCTCGTCGCTCGCCCCCACCAACTCTGCCCAGGTAGTCGCCCTGTCCTCTGCCCTAGCAAGCCCCCCACAGACACGGCTCCAGACACAGGACTCCACTGACGGCGCCACCGACCCCGGGGTCTCGACCTTCGCTACCCTTTCGCCCCCACAGTCCCCGCCCCCGAGCAGCCCCGACGACCTCAGCCCCAGCGAGACTAAACCCGTCTACCAAAGACTGCGACCTCGGCGGCTGCAGGAGCTTGAGCACAGAGAGGCCCATTTCGTCTGACGCCCAAAAAAAACATATTATATCTGTAAATAGTAATGTATCTGTGCCACAGTGTGTACTGTGGGAAACATTTTTTCTATCATACAAGCTGAGAGTGGGAGAAGATGTAGGCCTGTGAAATGAAACCATGAAAGTGTTATACGTACTAATATATTGTATTTTACATGTTCAAGTCAAAATGTCAACAGTGGTTGGTCTCCCAAGCATTCAAAGCAAACAAATACTGCCGACATTAACAAGATAACAAAAAGATGAATTTGCCAACCACTCATTGATTCATCTGTCTGTAAAGAATAGTCCCGTCGATCACTTTCCTTCTTTGAATTGAACCTATAAGTTCCTGTACAATGTTTGATTTGTTATGAAATGATACTTTATTGTAATCACACAATGCACTTAACACAGGTTCAAATTCTAATGTTGCCTTTTAATGTTCAAATGTGCTTAATTTTGTATTTTATTCCACAAGGAACGGATTGAGGTATTTTTAAACACTTTCAGTTCAAAAGAGTTCAATGTTTTTACCTTTTCAATTTGTCCTTTGTTGCCTGTGATTGGTACATCTTTTCTCAGTATGTAAACCTTATGTATCTGTTTACATTTTTTATACTCATTCATACATACTGCATGTTCGTCAGTCATTTTGTCTCATCGCATTATTTTGACTATACAGAAGAAAAATGACATGCAACAGTGGTTGCTGCAAATTAAAAAATGTAGTTTAAACTTTTACTTCTGTTCCAATTGAGTTGTTTTTTTAAAGATTTCCCTTTAGTGCCTCATAGAACAAGGGTTATACAGTATGTTTGTTTACTTTGTGTGTTATTTATGCTACTGAACTAATTGCTGTGTCACTTTTTAAATTGCAGCCTTTTGTGTATTTCAAACATGTATGCAATTTGATTTGTGGCTGTTTTGTTGCTGCATGGGACAAATTGGGGGAAAGACGCTAAGGCTGCAACTTCCAATTATTAGTTTCTTAATTATCTATTCATGACAGAAAATAGCCAAATAATCCATCACAGTTCCCTAGAGCCTAAGGCGACATCTACAAATGACTTGTTTTGTCTGGCCAACCTCTAAAACCCAATGAGAACGAAAGAAAATGATCATATTTAAGAATCTGGAAACATATTTTTGTTCGAAAAATGAACAGTGGATTATTTGCCAACGAGTTTCTGCTCATTAACTATTCCAATGTTTGTTCCGTGTGTCAGAGAACTAGGGTTATGTCTGAAACTTTTTATTTTATTTTCTATTTCTGTAGTTTACTTTGTGTGTTATTTATATAACCTGTGACATTTTGTCATTTTGTGTATTCCTACTATGAATCCACTCAGAATACTATAATTTGATGTATTTGGACATTGAAGTTGTGTGACATTGGTATCCACCAAGCTACCTACGCCACCATGTGCCTTGAATTTACCTTTGTTTTAGGGTAAGCTAGCTGTGTCTGGTGTGCACACCGTTCACAGCAGGCTTAAGTGGGTTTAATGTCACAACTGTCAAGGCTTCAAATTCTCCAAACGTGATTACCCATGTCACCTGCTCCACCCTGTCGAGCTGCCCAGAGGCGTGAGGCATTTCAGACACGAACGACAGTACGTACGTGCTCGTATGTGACTAAGTCAAAACTCTGATTTATCTTGTAGGTGTTAAGCTCAAAGACTGTCTTGCAGAGTGATAACAGATGAATCCTACTCATGGACACTTTGACGTTCGTTTTGGCTCCTATTGTGATCAAACCTGTGACCCCTGTGACGGTCTTTCTCTCCGCCAGTATCCTCTCTAGCAGATATATCTCCCCCCCCCTAATTCTGCCTCAAAATGGTTGACTGTTGTCTTTTTTTCTGCTTGCCCATGTTGAGCTGGGAGATTAGAGCAATCAGATTAGGAGTGCTGCTGACCTGCAGGCAGGGGAGAGAGAGTGGGCAGCGAGGACTCATACGGAGCTCTTCTACCTTACTTAATGTGTTTCCACTACTTCAGCTGGTCTGTGAACCTGTTTCTCTCGATGTCGTACGACTTTTATATCATTCCATAAGAGGTAAGGAACTGCTTTGTTCTTCTTGTTGACAAAATAGGATGTGATGTAAGAGCTGACAGGTATGTGGGTGCTAATTACTGTTTCTGCAAATGCTTCTAGTCAAACATAATGTCAAGGTGTGAAAACAGAGATCCTGGTAGATGCTCTTTATGATGTGTTTACCCTCATGGCTTCTTGTATCTGCTACTTAAACACGCAGCAGTTTTTCAATGCAAAAAAACATTTCTACACGTTTGTGGAAGGAAGTCCTGCTATGTGTAATTACTGTTTGAGCAATAAGGTGATTTCAGAGAAGTCAGACGTAATGATACCCTTCAGTCTCCTGTTTTAGTCTCGCAGTCTTTGTCCTCTTGTTGCTCTAGACAAGTATTTATGTCCCTGCATCCTCAGTCGACCAGTTTGAGGTAATCTATTGGACATGTCACTCTCAGCAAATTACTCATGTCCGACATTCTCTGAGCTCGTCTGCACATGACGTGTTTATGGGTTGTTTTTAAATCAGTATTCAGTTCCAAAATGATTTTCTTTTGGAATCAAGCTTGTATGATCGAGCAGGTACAAATTGGATTCATCAATCGCATACCAACTTGTTAAGAACATTGTTGGACTATATATTTTAATATTTGTGACAGTGTTTTACCAACGTGTATGTCGGTGTAGAAAAATCTCGTTTTGTCAACATGCCTACACAACAAACCTGTTAGTGCTTCTCTCAGGAGCACTTCAGCTGGGTGTACGCTTTCCAAGTGGTTTGATGGTCTTTCCCAGGTTGTAGTCAAGACCACCTTACATAAATCCAAGTTAATACCGAGACCAGGTTCAGTCAAGCTTGGGTCAAAGCCAGAGCAAAGTCGGTGCATTTGAAGATCAACAATGATGTATGTGAAAAGAGTTTTCATAGATCATCGGCTTGGTCTATAGATATGTACATATGCCGTTACATTAAAATCATAAAAGCACAAGTTTCTTTGGAGACTGAAAACAGCAGCAACAAAAACAAACCGGTCGACCGTGGAAAATATTACATGTGAAAATGTTTCCGCAAATTCAGGTCAAAAACAAAAAGCAAGTGGTCTCAATACCAGACCCAATAATGTAGTCCTGGGTCTCTGCTTGGCTCAATAATCTTACCTGCAGTAGATGGTCCCGTGTCTCTGTGAGTGCCACTGATGGAGTTGCGTATCTGCAGGTTTGTCACAGTCTGATGACCCCCTCCAGGGGTAAAGCTGCGGAGCAATGAAGACAGGCTCTCAAATCCGCCTGTTACTGTGGAAGAACTGGACCCTCCGCAAGAGACAGAAGGTATTATCATTTGTATGACCTTACAAACACTATTCAGCATAATGACAAACAAATACAAGTAACACCACAAAGTACAGCTTCCAACAGCCTTATAATAACGTCTCCAGACCGGTAGGGTTTGTTCCAGGGCCGTCGTGTCAGATTCGATTGTACAAGTGTTCCAATTTGTCTTTGTGTACATACAGTAACTCCCACTTTACTTGTTTCTGTCCAGGTCCGCTTCCTGGTTGAGATCTGCTGGCCAGTGTTGTTATTCATTGGTCTGGTGTGGCTGAGGAAGGCCAATCCACTGTACCAACAACATGAATGTAAAAAAAGAACAACTCTTCAATAACAAGCTATTTTAGTTATCTGTTTAATGAAATTCTTTTAAAACTGAATAAACAAATGGGCCTCCTAGAGTGAGCTTTTCCTTTCATGGGGAGAATAACACATCTTTACCTTTTGGCAGCTCTTTTAAATTCACGTCACCGGCCCTCACATTCACATAATTGTGATGTTTCTTTCAGGTCATTTCCCCAACAAGGCCATGCCTTCATCAGGGATTCTGCCCTGGATCCAGGGCATCTTCTGCAACGTCAACAACCCCTGCTTCAGATATCCAACCAGAGGAGAGTCTCCAGGCGTTGTCTCCAACTATAATAACTCGGTGTAAGCCTAACCACAGCCCTCTAACCGTGTAAACCTCCACAGTGCCAAATCCTTCATAAAACTGTCATTCTTTCATTTACTTATGTTTAATAATCATTTTAATTATTTTCACATTCATGCTAAAGTGCAGATTACAGTTGATTTGATAATTAGATAATACAGAATTACATTGTGTTAATAAATACATTTAATTCCTTAATAAATTCAGTGTGTTTTTTTGGCTTGCTCTAGATTGGCCCGGTTCTATGTTGATGCCCAGGAGCTTCTGCTCAATGAGGCGGAGGTCCAGCAGCTCGGCCGTCTTTGGCATGATGTGTCGTCCTTCTCAAACTTCATGGAGACATTACGCAACAACCCATCTGTGGTGTCAGGTAAAGCGCAAATGTGAGAAATGGTTCAGACAGCAGCACTTCCCTTTCAAGTGAAATGGCAAGTAAAAGTTAGTCGTTTCTTTCTCTCTCTCAACACTAATCAGACACAAGTCAGCCGTCTTTGATTGTAGCTTTCTGGACAAGATTTTGAAACTAAATGTGGACATATCTTTCCTTTACAAGGGTGATTTTCTTGTAAAGTTATTACAAACTCTTACCGTACCCTCTCAGGAAACAGTAGCAGCACTTTGATCTTAACCTTTAGATCTTGTTGTTTTCTGCACATCCTCTTTCTGTTGGTGTTTCGTGTCTTGTGTTTGTCAGAGCACCACCTTTCTCATCCGTTTTAAAAATCCTCCCTTTGACAGTAAATGTCTCATTTCTGTGACGCATTTAGCTAAATTACTTTCTGTACATTGGCATTAATCTTTCACCACTACTTGAGTTGTCAGATTTTGGATCTGGATGAACTGGTGATCGAACTTAATACATTTTTATTATTGTTCGGGTGACCAATAAAAGCATGTGGCTGCTATACAAAGACTTATCCAGGATAGAGGTGTAAAATCCCTGTTTTCCCTGTTATTCTGTTGGACGTCTCGTTCCCTGGTAATATTCCCGTTATTGTGGTCACTCATATGCACAGGATTGGTCATGACTTGGCCTGAAGGCTCACATTATAAAGGTTGTTTTTAATATTACTTCAATTTAAATTGATTGAACATTTTTTGGCAGGGATATGCGTACGAACCCACATCCTCTTGCTCACTGGACTTTCCCTGAAACATCCTGAAAATCGCTGCCAATCTTTCTCGCTGTGGCTCATTTCCTCCGTGTCGTCCAATGCTGGTCGGGTCAATGTGGCCTTTAGTGGTTCTAACCTTTCACTTATCTCTGCTTTCGATGTTTCTTGTAGGCCGTGGGCTGAAGATAAATGATATTCTGAAGGATGACGAGGTTCTGACGGCTTTCCTTTTGCAGAACACTGGCCTCTCGGAGTCTATAGTCTACCAGCTCGTCAATGCAGAAATACGACTAGAACAGGTGCCATTTGGAGGGATGAATGGGACAAGTTCAAGCATTGACTGATATTAGGTCCTCTTGGCCTATATCAAAACCATATTGAATAGCTTAAATATCTTTCTGTGGTTTAAAATCAATAAGAAGTGGTACTTATAACAATAAATGAGGATTCTTTTAGATATATCCCGCAATAAATCAAGCATTCCTTTTGTTTTCATGTTTCCCAGTTTGCCTTTGGTATCCCAGACCTGCAGCTGAAAGACATAGCCTGCAGCCAGGCTCTGCTGGAGCGCTTCATCATCTTCCCCAGTCGCATGGGGCTCCACGGGGTTCGCAACGCCATGTGTGCCCTCAGCCAGCAAAGCCTGCAGAAGATAGAGGACATCCTCTATGCTAACCTGGACTTCTTCAAAATCTTCAAACTGGTGAGTTGTGCTTTGACATTTATTTTTTTTAATGTCAATATGTCAGAGTCAAATTAATAAATAAACGGTGCTTCCTGCTGTAAAGTGGATGTTGTTCTTAAATACGTCCTTTCCTCCCTGTTTTTACTTTCCTTGTTGACATGGTAGTCATGATTTCCGGCCAGAGATCCTCTGAATGATGCATTTGATTCAAATTGATACATATATGGTGCACTAGCTTGTACTCCTGGCAGCAGGACGGTGTAGTGTATGTGGGATTGAGTAAGAATACACTACAGTGTGTGTGTGTGTGTGCCAGTTTTTAAAATAATTTTTGGACAACAATCAAGCTCCGTGGCACAGCGCAATAAGATATATCTTTTTTGGGATAGCCAGAAAAGTCCGTTTTTTTTTATTTTTTATGGGATTTGTTGACTATAAGAAAAATGTGAATTATCACAAGACTTGGAAACAGGTCCCTTCATATTTTTTTAGACGCTGTGTCACCAGGTAAATTTACATTCCCCGCTCACCTTCATAGAACTGCTTCTCCCCACTGCTCTAGTAAAATAGTGTAGTAAGGTTGATACTGTGATATTGTTTCCATAACAGCACGACCAAACATTCTGGATAGTGTACTTTATTGTGACCGCAAATGTGTTGGTAGCTCATTGTTCCATTGTAGAGCTGCTGGTGATGCCAGGACGGCATGTTGAGGCCAAGTGGCTGATTCTAGCTAGCGCTGCCAGACCTGTTCGTTCAGTCACCGGCTTCATTTTGGGACTAACTTGGTTTCAAATGGTTACAAATATATTTACGAACAAACAAGAAACATAGAGAAGGCAGTACAACAGAGCTTTTCTTTGTTTCCTCTGAGTGGCACCACAAGTTACAGATCATTCTTTTTAATGAAAGAAAAAAACATTTTTATTTATTTATTTAATGTATTTGTAAAGTATCTCCCCTTTCAGAAGTAGATTTATCTTTATAGAACAGTAAAGAAAATAAAAGCAGCATTATGAAAATTAGATACATCATCACACCGTATTATGTTGAACTTGTTTCCCCTTCACACCCTCTAATTTCTTCTATATATGTCAGGTGAGTCAGGTGAAAGCTGATGGTATTATCCCTCTTGGCCTGTTTTTCTAATGGGCTTAGCTAGACCCCGCCCGCCTACAGTCTGTGAGTTATTCTGTAAGACGTGATGCTGCTTCTTGTATAAATGCATTACCAACATGTGTTAGTCTGAAGAGCGCACCTGTTTATCGGTAAGAGAGCTGCTGGCTAAATCAGTAGGAGCATGGAAGGAATGCAGTGTCTTACATTACAAATTTTTTGAGGTGAATAGACTAGAGCAGTTGCATGAGTTACATAAAATAGACACAGTCTTGATTGATGGCATGGATGTTTGATGGATAGACTAAATGATTGACAATTTTATTAGCATGACTATAAAGTTGTTTTATCAATTTTCATTCTGTATTTTTTGTATTATTTATTTCTTGTCTCTTTTTGGTAATATTTTTATTACCATTTTTTATTTAGTACTTGACCTCTCACGAAACCATCTTATCTGAGATCATTATTTTCATATGTTCCTGTTGGCTGTAATATCCATTTACTCATTCGTTATTTTTACCTGCTTATCCTCTCTAGGGTCACTGAGGGCTAAAGCCTATACAATATTAATCAATATAAAATATATTATATTGAAAAAATATACTTGCAATTGGAAATTACCTTGTGCTGAAACATATTTTAAATGTTCTTTGCAGTTAAACAGTACTTCCCCAGAACAGTACTGTACTTTTACAACTGATATAAGGAAACTTAAATCTCCTGAAAACGTGGCCTCTAATGCTAAGTAAAAAAAACAAAATATACAAATGCAGAGAAAACACCATCACAATAGCTATGAGGCAACACTACCATACATGCAGTATTGAACTCTAAGGTGTTTTTGAGGCTGTAGTCCATCTTTTATTTACTGTGCACATATTGGTAACATTTTCTGTGAATATGAGAGAAATATGACAATTTTTCTCATTAGTTTGTACTACGGTAGCATCTTAGTGGGGATCTATGCATTTAACCCATTACCTCTGTTAAGTTTAAAGCCCATTACCACAGTGACCTCTGCCTTGAAACAACTTGATACGCTCATGACCCCCTTCTCCCATCCACCTCTCAACACGCTCCCTTTCTGTTCCCTCGCTTTCTCTCTCCCCCCCCCCCCCCCGCACCACCACCCTCCTTCCTTCGTTCATTGAAATGCAAGCGCGAGGAATGCAGGAGGAAGGATATCACATGTGCGTGTTTGTCTTTGCATTCGGGGTTTCCGTAGCCCTCACCACTCTGCTCTGACCAGGCCTTTTCTAACGCCTACTGCTAATGGTTTCTCAAGATAAAATCATTGAAGGGGTTTTAGCGGAAGTATGTTTCGATATCGAACAACTGATACAGTTCAAGTTTGAAACAGGTTCATTTCCTCAATAAATACGGACAACACCTAAATTGTGTGATAAAAAAAGAAGGCAGAATGGATAGTGTGATGTGGCTGGTTGTACTGTCTAAAGAAAATGTGCAAAAAATGGATTCTTCTTTGCAACAAACATTTCTTGAAACTCGGTTTCCAGGACTTTAGGGTTGCTGTTTTACAGGTTTCTTGAAAGATATCAATGTTTATCCGTCTAAGGTGATCATCGGACTTAAACAGAGCAGTGATGTTTATGATACAAAAGAACAAAGAGCAAATTGTGTTGAACCTCTTCTATTTATTTTTAAAACACTGTATGAATATTGTTCACTTGACTGACACATCTTGTGACTTTGTTTGCCCAGATGCCTCAGGTTCTGTACAGCAGCTCCGAGGGGATTGACCTGCACCTCTGGGGTCGGGTTCTGAAGGCAACGTCAGAGAAGATCCAAGTTGTAAGTGCTCCAAAGACCATCAATCCCTTTTTACTCCTGGCTATTCAGTCCTCAGGCACCAATATTTTTAGCCCTGCAGGAAACTCGTCTCTTCCGCTGTTCCCAGTTTGAAGACTGCTCACAGAGGAGGCTGAGTGATGGGCTCAACAATGTGGGGTGTACGTGTGTGTGTGTGTGTGTGTGTGTGTGTTAACAACCTTCATGTGAACTGTACAAGCGCTGATGTGTCATTGTACGCTCATGTGATATGTGGGTAAGGACATGTGTATGTGCATCATGTTTATAACCATGCATATTTGTGTGTGGGTGCTAGCACATACAGATTGTGTCTCACGTGTATAGTTGTGCATGTATCTTTATCACTGTATTTATTTATTACATACATTTATTATTTAATAAATCTGAATCAAATAGAACAGAAATGAAATATGATATAAAGGAATACAGCAGATACTGTGGAGGACTTTTATATAATGTAAAAACATATTGTAGATAAATAGAATAAAATAGATTTGACAGATAATAGAATAGATGTTATAGATAATTATATTAGATATACAATAACAGAAGAGAATAGAACCAAATGGATATTGCAGATGAATAGAATAGAATTGATATCGATAAATAGAATAGTTATTGTAGATAAATAGAATAGATAATGTAGATAAAAACATAGAATAGATCTAGATAAATAGAAAAGAATAGATATTGTAGATCAATAAAATAGAATTGAATAGACATATAGAACAGAACATAATTGAATATATAATGTCGGAATAAAGACTTGAACAGATATTGTAAAGACATATGATAGATATTATGTAATCCAGCATATTTTACAGAACAGGATAGAACTGAATAGACATTGTAAAAAAAATAGAATGAAATAGATGATTAAGATAATTAAGACGAGCACATGTACAGACACAAGAACAGAGACAGAGTGACTGGGATTGCGCTGTGAGTTTCAGCACGTTCACTGCATGTCCCAGGGCTTAGTGTATCCCATCATCACCTTAGGCAGGGTGTGGGAGAGAGAGACAGGGTGGGGGTGGGGGTGGGGGGCTCGAGGGAGAGAGACATTCCTCTGAGGTGACACATCCTGTAGGTGGGTCCTTTGTATCACTGTGGTGACAGAAAGGCGAGCCAAATGCTCTCATTACCCACCTCTCCTTCCTTTCAATTTACTGTGTGTGTGTGTGGGTGTGTGTGTGTGGGTGTGTGTCTATGAGATAATGAATAAGAAAAGGGAGGAAAATGGAGGGAGAGCGAAATAAATCAGGAGTGTGTTTTAGCATGTGTGTGTGTGTGTGTGTGTGTGTGCATGTACTGTATATGTTCACCCGTAAAAGGATGCTTTGAGTGTTGGCAATGAGTCATTTTAATCACTGACTCCTGAAACCACTTTGATTATCAATGTTACGATATTATCTTCATTTAAAGTTGTAAGGGGATTATAGAGCTAGTCTAATAAAGATGAAGGCTTATGAACAAATATTACTGGCAGAACTCAACTCCACCTACAATCAGATCCCTCCAGAGATTATCTAAAGATTTAGTAATTTCTCAGATTTGAGGACAAAAACAACTCAAACATAAAACTCTAAATCATTGGCAGCCCCCTCGCTATTTCTTTAGAAAGGAAATGATGCGTACCGGGGAGAAATAAACTTGGATGAAGCTATTTTTGTTCAATCAATAGGAGGATATTTAGTCCATGTGAGAGGAGAGGCGTCCGTCCAACATGTTTGCTTATCTTTCAAACTATTGTTTTCTAGTGATCGTTTATGCTCTGCTATTCACAGTACGAACAAATATGGAGGACATAATTGTCAGTTGATCCACCACTCTGGTCCAGACTGAAATATCTCAGTAACTATTGGATGGATTCATTCATGATGAATCTTACCTGTAAAAGTCTTGATGATCCCATTAGCCTAAATTGTGCTTTTGTGTTTAAGGCTTATTAGCGATTATTTCATGCTAACATGCTAAACTAAAATGGGCTCTGCATAAGTATAACTTCAGATAGCCGCTAGCAGGCTGTAGACTCTTAGTCCTGTTAATACAATAAAGAATTTGGTTTTTGAGAATTTGGTGTTGAGTTTGTACCTATATTTTAAAACTCAAAATTCAAACTGCCCTGTGTACGTCAGCTGTGTGACACACATAGAAAAGGATGAGGGTAGAAGGCAAACATGAGAAGAAACACTGCTGTTGTTCTGGACGATAGCTGGATCTAATGAAGGTTTTAAAACGGTATCAATTCAACAGGTACATTGATCTCTCAGAGATTCTCTTTCAACTGGCCATCTCTGACTTTTTACAGCTGATGGAACGGAAGAGTTCTCAGGAGCTCCTGAAGGCGGTTTCCTCTATGTTTCAAAGCGGGGGTCCCGCCTCATTCACACAGCTGATGTCCAGTGTGTCGAGCCTCTTCTGTGGATACCCAGAGGGAGGCGGCTCCAGGGTCCTGTCCTTCAACTGGTATGAGGACAACAACTACAAGGTGTTTCTGGGAGTCAATGTAACCAAGAACCACAACTATGTCTATGACGACACTGCCAGTAAGTGAAGAGGTGTCGAACTGTAAAAGTCTCAATGTATGAAAAGAAGATCAGGCACACTTCTCTCGCTCAGCATCACAATTTATTGATCATACTAGCGTTTCAGTCTCTCTGAATCTCTATCAAGAGTGTTTTAGACTCCCATTCTGTGTGCACAGGTGGGCCAAATATTCTCTCAATAATTGACAGCAGCATGTGTACAATCTGCAGCACGTGTACAATCTGCCCCGTGAAAACAAACAAGCTACTGTACATACCACGGTACATAATTAAATCTATTTACAATAATATTTCCAGAAATTGCATTTGTGATGATTGAAAACATCGGCCTTACAGCTTTCATAAGTCATTCAGAGTTGTGTACTCGTATGCATTGCTTGTATCTCGAACGTACAATAAGAAGGTCTATAAGAGTTTTAGGAGCATGGCATGCAATGGTATCTCATCATTCAATCCTTTGGGGGATAGTTTGCAAATGTAATATCCTGTATACCTTTATAGAGTGGTGCAGGAATGAGTTAGCATTTTGGCACTTCGGGTTCCCTCGTCTCAAAGTCAATTATGTTTTGAATAGGTTTTTGGTTAGATGCCTGAAATAAGATCTGTGGTCAACACAAGCTTTTTTCAAAGAGAAGTCTTGTAAATTCTTGTAGTCCATCCAAGTTCATCCATCAAACAGACAAAATATGTCATCAATCTATCAATACCATTCGAAATATGTTTTTGTGGGATTATACATTTTTTTGAATGAATTCTGAGCCACAGCAGTGTGTGGGATCTTCTTTTCTCAAGATTCAAGTGATACTTTCCAATGCAATCCATCTGAGATATGAAAAAAACATATAAGAGTCTGTAAATCACCATAAAGCTGTTGGATAAGCACTGGGTAACTAATTTAGCATACTTGACTGTTGTCTGTAACTTTATTGATAGCGTCTGAATGCTACTAAAGTCTGGAGGATAAAAGAAAGTTCAATATGATGCTTTATACCTCTTACTAAATCTATTTTCGCCTTCTTCTAATCTTGCTGTTTTTGCAATTGCTCTTCCATTAGCTCCCTCCTGCAACGCCTTGATGCAGACCCTGGAGTCCAACCCTGTCACAAAGATTGTGTGGAATTCAGTCAAGCCCCTGCTGATGGGAAAAATCCTGTACACCCCCGACTCCCCTGCCGTCCACAAGATATTAAAGAGAGTAAGAGAGACCACCTCCAGCCCGACCCCTCACCTCTCTGTCTCTCCACTCACTTTTTTCTCTCCTTCTCCATTTCTTTCACCACTCTATCTGTTTTTAATGCGTCCACTCCAAGCCCCCACCCTTCTTAGGAATGAGCTGACTACCGAGGCAGAGGAGGGTGGAGGGATTGGGGGGGGGGGGGGGGGGGGGGGGGGGGGGGGGGGGAGATCTGCTGCAATGTGAGGGAAGGGAAGAGGAGGGGAGAATTAAACAATAAACTGAATGTGAGGGTGCATTGGTGAAAGCAAAAACAGAATGTTTTTCAGTCACATCTCATTTCAGTCACATCTCATTCAGTGTTCCTGACACAAAACAAATCTCACGTTTTTTTTTAATGAGAATTTAGCGACCTGCTCCGGAGAAGAAAAATGACCTAATGTGACTGTTTACTTGTTTACTACCCATGGTGTTTATAGAGTATTGTAGTGTAGAGCTCAGATCAGGTTTCATGGATCTCACTGCTGTTATCTGGTTGACACTATTTTTATGCAATCTCAAGTATCTTGAGTCAAACAAGATAACCAGAATCAGTTAACATATCAATGTTATCAGCACACGTCAACAGAGTTATGTGTTGACTGTGCTCCTTCACTGCTGGCGTACTACAATTATATGATCTGTGAACTTTACATCAATGTAAAATTACTTTATATAGTGAACACTTGTTGCTCATGTGTGTATGCTTGTGTGTGTTGCAGGCCAACACAACATTCGAGGAGTTAGAGAGGTTGCAGAACATGGCCAAGGCCTGGGGGGAGTTGGGACCTCAACTCTGGACTTTCTTCGACAGCAGTTTACAGATGAACATGATCAGGGTAGGAATACTGCGCATACACACAGATGCAATCATACCTTTGAAAGTATTTAAAATGTACTATGATGCTCCAATTCAAAAGAACATATGAGCCTCACGGTAGAATAAGCCTCACTTATAACATAACCAGTGTTAGAAGCAACCAATAGTAAACACACGGACAAAAATCAATTAGATGGATTTATGTTAAATTCGAGCCACAAATTCTTGGAAGAATCTTGTGTGCTGCAGCGCTATTTAAAGACTGCAGGCAAACAATTAGCATTCAGTTTGACCAAAAACAACGGGGCTGATATTTTGAAATTGTATTAATTTTGTTGAAAAATAATAATGTTTATGGCTTGAAACCCAAAGGCATTTTTTCACTTTCCTTGAATATGTATTCAGCTAAGTGAATGGCACTTGCTCTTGCATATGTAATTTGTCTGTATTACACGCAATAACTTTATTTCTGTCTCAATCGCTGCAGGACACGTTGAGGAACCCGACAGTGGTGCACTTCATGGACAATAGTCTGGTGGACACTGACTTTACCACCAAACACATTCTTAACTTCCTGTACAACGGTCCAGAGAAATACAGGGAGGCGGACATGCCCAACTTTGACTGGAGGAATATTTTTAACATCACCGACCAGATCGTACGCATGTTCAACCAGTACGGAGAGGTAAGAAATACAAGATAGTCTCTGTAATCTCATCTGTCTATCTATCTATCCGTCTGTTTTTCTTCTTTACCCCAGCAACTATTTGCCAAATGTTGCACATTCCCAGGACTAAGTGTCCAGTGTTTTTGTAAGACCAACTCTCAGCTTTCCAGACAGGTGCATCAGTCTTCCAGGTCTGCTCCCAGGAGATTGCAGACAGGCCCCTTTGAAACAGATCAGGCCACTTAGCCCTGCTATAGAGCCGCTCTCCCGTCCTGTAGGCTGAAAGGTGGGGAGAACAAGCCTGCTGTCACCCCCCTCCTTTGCTCTTATTGTGGAGCCAGTGATAAAGTGGGGAGAAGGTGGCAGTGAGTCACCCCCCCTATGAGCTCAATGCGGTTTTAGTGCATGGCCCCGCATTGAAACAGACCCCTGCGCCTGTGAAATAAAAGAGGGCAAATCACTCTATCCATCCTTCACGCCTTCCCTCTCTCCTCTCGCGACTGATTTAAAGGGGGCAGGGGTTGCGGTTTTGGTGAGAGCGCTATCAGGGCTGGCATCTCAATCTGTCCTTTGTCTCCAAGTTCAGCATCCAGACCCTTCAGAGCCCCACAAACAAACCCAGGCAGTTTAGCCAATTAGGTATAGCTGTCAGCCAGCATTGGGCCATAGGATAACTACTGCTGCCGTTAGCATTGGGTCCTCTCGCTCCATCAGGGGTATGTTTCTCACAGTGAAATCCCATTGGAACATGTGTATCAGTGAGGGTCTTTCTTCTCAGCCCATCTCCGAGTGAACATTATTGTGCTGTGAATGTATAGTCCCTTAAAGATGAATGGGAAGTGGTCTCTCCTCTTTCTTTGAGCGCTCTCAGGGTATTGTACAGTAATGTGAATGGAGACATTAGACACGGTGTACACAGGGGTGTTGGGAGGTTAGAGAGCACCGTGTGTGGGTGTGTGTGTGTGTGTGTGAGTGTAGGGTGGGAGTTCACATGGCAATTATGCGTGTTTCATTGGGAGAGAGAGCATGTCTGCGTGTGAGAGTGAACCGAATTGTTTGTGTGTAGGTGTATGTAGTTGTGCTCATGTGTGTTTAGATGCACGTGTTCATGTATTTGCTTTCCTGCATGTATGTGTGTGCGTGTTTGTGTCTGTCGCTGTAGAATGAATGTAGTAGCTCAGATTTCCCCATGTCACCAGATCGCCTCAGTGAATGATGGTTCTGTTAAGAGCGAATGGAAATTCACAAAACTACACATAAAATGACCAACAGAGGTATTTTTTGAAACCTTTCTGGTGCCAATACAATACCTGGGAAACCCCAAATGCCACATGCACCTGATCTAATACACAAAACAGCATTTGGAAGAGCAAATGGCATTCTACTAACTGCGGTAGCATACAACATCTTCCCAACATCCACACCACTCTCTTCTCCACTGATTATAGTGCATCAACCTGGATAAGTTTGTGGCTTACACAGATGAGTCCCAGATGACCCATCAGGCCTTGTACCTACTGGAGGAGAACAAGTTTTGGGCCGGCGTGGTCTTCATGGACATGTATCCCTGGACCACAAGTGTACCGCCGCATGTCAAGTACAAGATCCGCATGGACATTGACGCAGTCGAGCGCACCAACAAGATCAAAGACAGGTCAGTAACAGCTGTGTGGACAGATGTTTTGTTACCAGGACTGCCCACCACTCCGTATCACGCTGTATATTATTGTTTCATTTGAAAAATTGTTTGACATCTGGAAAGAAAAAATATATTTCTATATTTCTGTAGCAAATGTTTCTTTTTTCCTATCCGGTCAATTGTGCTGTGACCACAGATACCAGTCCCCAGTCTTTTAAGGGACGCAGTTTCCAAAACATTGGTATTATTGCACAAAAATGTAGCAAAGAAGAAAATGAGGTACTTTCTTATACATTTCATTGCAGCTGACTGGTATGCATACACACAGGGGAAGGATCCAACCAGTAAAGTTTAGACAACCCACCCTTCCTTCATTTTTTTTCCATGTTGTTACTGCTGCATTAATGAGGCAATTTATATGGATTTGTCACATTCCATGAAGGAGGAAAAGAGAAGCTTCTCCAGCTGGCCTCAGTGCGTTTTCCAAAGTCTCTTGGTGGTTCCATATTAACTCGATACCTGCCCTTTCATCCTCCCATGTGAGGCTTTCGCATGCATTTTCCTTTCCCTTTGATCTTCCATTCATAAACAGACTGTATGTCAATAGCCCCCGGGGTGAGCAAAATGTTTTAGCTGTTTACAGTGCACCAACAGGCTGTAATGGACCCAGTGGGAGTCCTGCCTCTATTCAATTGAATAATCAGATTGTAAGAGGGCTTTGCCTCGGACTTATCCGCTTAAGTAGAAGCAGTGCACATGTGGTGTGTGTGTGTGTGTGTGTGTGTGTTGCTCTAGAGACTGTGGCTTCAAGATGTTGTATTATGAAAATGTTTTATTGGGATTATTTCAAACAACAAAAAAATGCTTAAATATATTGTTTGTGTGACGAATGATATTGTGGCTACATTTTAACGGATAAGATCCTCTAGCCGCCTGTCATTCAGTCTCTGTTTTCCCCTCTCAGGTACTGGGACCCCGGCCCCAGAGCAGACCCCATGGAGGATCAGAGGTACATCTGGGGAGGCTTTGCCTACCTGCAGGACATGATTGAACACGGCATCATCAAGCATCACACAGGCCAAGACTGGCCACTCGGGGTCTACGTCCAGCAGATGCCGTATCCGTGCTACGTGGATGACCAGTGAGTGAACCGGTCACCTTATGTAACAGAAGATCGTTCACATGGTCGATGCGTTACAACCCCCTCCCACCCCCCCACCCACAAAAAAAACAAAAACAGCAGCCATGACAGCATACAGAACATTTTTAGCGTGAAGAATTAAAGTTAGCAATGTTATATTTCTCATGGGTCCAATGAGATTCATCATTTAAGTGTTGGGGTCACATCCTTACTTCCGCTCCCTCTCTGCTCCTCTCTTCTGCTCCAGCTTCATGATCACACTGAACCGCTGCTTCCCCATGTTCATGGTGCTGGCCTGGATCTACTCTGTGTCCATGACTGTGAAGAGCATTGTGCTGGAGAAGGAGCTGCGCCTCAAGGAGACTCTCAAAGCCTTGGGGGTCGACAACGGAGTCATTTGGTACACGTGTTTCATCGACAGCTTCGTCATGATGACTGCAAGCACGGCGCTGCTCACCTCCATCATCATGGTAAGAAGAACAGGGTGGACAGGGGAAAGGAGGAGGATGATAGAAAAACTAGGGTCAAGTTTTATTCGCTGGTTTGGAGGGTTTTAATATTTTTTGCAACGTGCAATGGTGTCCTCTTGTGGATGATTTTTAAAAAGCTCTATATTAATGGAGACAGATGTTTTACTCATGCAGCCAATCATTGCAGGGGCTCTGTGCTTGTTTACAGGTGTGTTTCGATGTTTTAGTGAAAGTATTCTCAATGTAATCACACGTATATCTTTTTTTTTTTCTTTCAGGGTGGAAAAGTGCTGAATTACAGCAACCCCATCCTTGTCTTCTTTTTCCTGCTGACTTTCACCATCGCCACCATCATGCAGTGTTTCCTGATGAGTGTGTTCTTCAACAAGGCCAACATGGCAGCCGCCTGCAGCGGCATCATCTACTTCACCCTCTATCTGCCGCATATCCTCTGCTTTGCCTGGCAGGACCGCATCACCAAGAACATAAAGATGGCTGCTGTATGTCTGATTTCCTTGTGTGACTTATTTTACAAATGCAGAAAAAAAAGCATTTGCAAGTGTAGGGAGTATTTATTCCAATTTCATGTTTTTAAGGGAGATTATCATAAAAAAACTTTCATCAAAAATCTCTTCTCTTACAAGTGCAACAAAACAGGCAGCAAGGATCACTGATTGGCCTTGAATATATGTGTACATTTGACGTTGACAATTTGAATATTGAGACATTTAAATTTGCAGTATTATTTCCTTACGTAGATATTCTGTGATTCATACGTCCCTCTGCTTCTCTAGAGCTTGTTGTCTCCAGTGGCCTTTGGCTTCGGGACAGAGTACCTGTCGCGGTATGAGGAGCAGGGTTTGGGTCTGCAGTGGAACAACATCATGACCAGCCCGTTAGAGAAAGACACCTACTCCTTCCTCACTTCCATTCTCATGATGGTGTTTGATGCTGTCCTCTACGCCGTCCTGGCCTGGTATCTGGATAACGTCTTCCCAGGTTGGACTGCTAATATATACTGCATCGTTTACTTTACCGCTTTATAGGTACTACAAGTTTATCACACTGAGGATTATATCAAATTTCTCCCTCAGGACAGTACGGCATTAGTCGACCATTCTACTTCCCATTCCAGGCCTCCTACTGGCAAATGCCTGCACCCTCACAGACAGCAATTCCTGATCAATGTAAGTGTCACTGACTCTAAAATCTCTTACATGCCTCACAAGTGAGGAGCAGCCCTGCGACTGGAGGTTTCTTGCTCAGCTTTGCCCAAAAAAGCAATTGCTCCCCAGAAAAGCTTCTAATTCCGGCTGGAAGATTGTGATTGTGTTGGAAAGGTCAATATAAGGTTCATAATGAATAAAGTCGCCCACGAGAACGATTTTCTCTCTCGCCTCCTCCAGCACTCCTGGAGCAGGAAATGAGTCAGCTTGGTAGAGCGCACTCTTGCCAGCACAGAGTCTGAAACCAAGTCGTCCCAGCAAACATAATGTTCGCATTAAGATAAGAGCAAGTTTTATAGACCTTTGATCTGAATGTATCATATTTCATAAACATCCCATAGAAAGCAGTCAGCAAATCAATAAAAACAACAACAAGCAGGGTATAAGTTGCTATGTAACTCCCCTCCAAGCCATGTAACTGCAAGTTAAAAGAATCTCTTCTGGTTAACATTTCATACTGTTGGCATCAAAGTGAAAGAAACACTTTTTTTTTGCCATCACTAGCAACATAAACGTACATGTGGTCAACTGTGCGAGGGGAACTTTTCACATGTGCTACAGAAAACTTGCACCAGACACATCCCAACTGACAAATGGCTCTGTGTTCTGTCTTTCTCAGATCCAGAGACTCCTGAAACAGGCAACTTGGAGAAGGACACTGATAGCAGGGGAACACCGGAGACATACACCTGTAATGGTTCAGCGGGCAGGAAAGCCTGTAAGCACCAACGTAAGAGGGATCAACTGGAGAGAGAGAGGGAGCTGCTAAGACGACATGAGGAAACTCCAAACGAGGAGGATTGTCAGGAAGGTGAGGACACAAATACAGAGCAGAAGCCTCAAGGCAAGCTGTAAGTGAAAGAAGGACTGACTGGAGATGAGAAAATGACACCAAACTGCACGTGGGGAACACACTGAGGACATCTAGTGGACAGAATGGGTAACACATCACACACTGGAAATACTAGAGGGAAAAACAAATAAAGAGGTGTGATTGTGCCCATTCTCATAATGATAAAGTAGAGGACTGCTATAAGGATTTAAATAGGAGTTTCTATGTTAATGAACAATATTTATTTGAGTCAAACGTGATAAAATCTTCAAGCCTTTATATTGTTACGTGACGCAGGCCTCAGTTAAGCCAGTGAAAGGATGGGAAGGAAATATTTAATGGCATGTGATATTCCAGCTTAAATTTATGGACTGAAACATTTTTTTCTTTTTATGTGTTTTTGTTTCACACTATTTCATTTCTATTGGTTATTGTGCCGAGCATTATATAATCTAAATGCATCTAAAGGAAAGTGTTAACTCAGTCTTTTTGTATTGCAGGTCAGTTGTTCTTTGAGCCTGAGCCATTGGGCCTGGTGATGGGGGTGCAGATTCAGGACCTGATGAAGGTGTATGATGGAAGTTGTCGTCCAGCTGTCAACTGTCTCAACATCAATTTCTATGAAGGCCAGATCACATCCTTTTTGGGTCACAACGGGGCTGGAAAAACCACCACTCTGTGAGCTGAATCAGATTCCACAAGTTACAAATGTCTTTAATTACTCAGGCTCAGCCTCAAAAGACGTAAACTCAGATCATTTGATCAGAATCTGATAGAATAGGCTAATTAAACAAGTTCAAAAGGCTCAGAGGTTAATGCAGGCTCAGAGGTTGGCTGGTTCATATATCTATTAAACTAGTTTTAATACTTGCAAGGTGATAATCTGGCAACCCTCATAGTATTGGTGTTGTATGTGCTTCTGCTCTGTCCAGGTCCATCCTGACTGGCCTGTTCCCTCCTACATCTGGCACAGCTTACATTAATGGAAGCGACATTAGGACTGACATGGACACAATTCGCTCCTCCCTGGGGATGTGCCCGCAGTACAACATCCTCTTCAAACAGTGAGTTCCATTACAGACCGACAGGACCAGTACCATTTCACCATAAAAACATTTACATGTATACAGTGTTTCCATTATATACAGCAGACAAAAGTAAAATAATCAAGGAGCTATTTATGTTGAACAAACTTAAATTACTCGTCAATTGCATTTCCTTAGTTAAAGGTTGCTCCAGTAATTGAACTTTGAAAGTTTAGAATGTCTTCATTTTTAATAAAGTGAGAAACAGACTTTGTTCAAATCAATACATTCTTCACACATTGGCTTTTGACAGCAGTTTCTGAAAGCCAGGAACATCAGAAAGTTCACTTCCCCATCCAGACTTTCCCAGCTTTCAAAGCAGCCACACTGTCCAAAAACTGTCAAAACAACAATTTTACACTCTTCCTCAGTAAAGTTAAAAAAAAAAAAACGTTATTATCGCTGCCCTGTTTTTGTCCCAGTCTCACAGTGGAAGAGCACATCCTGTTCTACTCACTGCTGAAGGGTCGGACTCAGGAGGAGGCGGAGAGGGAGGTTGAGGACATGCTGGTGGACCTCGGGCTGCCTCACAAGAGAGACGACGAGGCTCAGCATCTCTCAGGTTGGACCGCTTGTTTCTCTGTGTTTGTGAAAGGAAGTGAGCAAGAATTGCGTTCATTCCTTCATCATTGTTTCTGCTCTGAACTGTTGCCTCTCACACTCTGCAGGCGGTATGCAGAGGAAACTGTCAGTTGCCATGGCGTTCGTTGGTGGGTCAAAGGTTGTGATCCTGGACGAACCCACCTCGGGAGTGGACCCCTATTCCAGGAGATCTATCTGGGACCTCCTACTGAAATACAGAGCTGGTAAAAAAAATCTCACTGCAGCAAAGTCAAATTTAACCCATTAAGCGCCACATTTCAGCCCTCCAGGTCAACACTTTATCCCTTTAGATCCACATTTTACCCTAACCAGTACACATCTCACCCCTAAGGTCCAATTTTTACTGCTGCTCTGGAGACACTGAAGAATGAAAGCAAAACCTCTCACAAGCTATCAGCTCTCCTAAGGCACTTGAATTAAGTAGTCAACTGATCAAACGGAAAAATTCAACTACACTGCTACAGCAGAAGGAAAGAAATATGCAGTCACAAAATCAATAATCTGTTGGCAAAAGCACTTTAAATTTATGGTAACTTTTTTGGAAAAATTCTGGTGATCTGTTTTCTATGTGTGATCTAAATTGTTTTCCCTCCATTGTGTTTATTACTTAAGAACAGGTGAAAAAAAAAAAAGGTTTTGCTAAAATAAGTCATAAACATAGGAGAGAAAACTATTAAATCTATTAAAATGGGCCCCTTTGACTCAAATGACATGTCAGTAAAAAGTACTTTATTAAAACTTTGACCCTTTGTGCAGGCCGGACAGTGATCCTATCAACTCATCACATGGACGAAGCTGATCTGCTGAGTGACCGCATCGCCATCATCTCCAAAGGACAACTCCACTGCTGCGGATCCCCCCTCTTCCTCAAGAACTGTTTTGGAGTCGGTTTCTATTTGACACTTGTTCGCCGGATGAAGGATCTCAAGAAGAAGGAGGTAAGCTTTACCTGTTACACAAAATCAGCCAGATACGCACCTGTCTCTTCATTCTTCACAATCGATTTCAAACACAGACCCACAAATTAGAATACCTACTTTTCTTTTGTAAAAGTGTTCTTGTCTGTGCTGCTTTTCTATCAGAATGATTGCGACTGTGCCTCAGACTGCTCCTGTTCCTGCTCCATGTGTACCAGATACAAAGATCAGCCTCAGAACCAGTCCCAGCACCTAGACAGAGCTCTGGATGGTAAGTGAACACTGCATTATCTGTTACCGTTACTGCATACTCCTGAGCTTCTCCTCTGTCCTCTGTTTATGTGTGTATGTGTTCTCTTGTACGAACAACTTGAGATTCAGACCCAGTGAGTGAGGCATTTGTGGAAATTGAGAAAAATGTTTTTCAGAGCCTTTAAGTCAATGAAGGTCCTCACAAGTATAGCAGTACAAGCCTGTGTGCGGGTATCAGTGCGCAGTGGTTGATAGTCTGACTGGCCCACTTATCCAAGTTGTAAAACAGATACAGAAACAGAACACATTATTTTCTCAAATTTATAATTCAGTGGTGATATTGACCCATGTGCCTTTTCCTCCTACATCTGCTTGAGGACACTGTATTTTAGAAGCTTTACTCATCTATTTTAGTGCTTGAATAATGGTGTTTGTTTTTTGTTTTTGGCATAATTAGCACTAGCAGTTTCCCTTTCTTTGTCCTTTTCATGATTTCTGCTATATTGTGAACACTTTACTCTTAATTACCCTGCTCCAAAAATGATGAATTTCTGTCTTCTTCCCAGGGGATATAGACAACATCACCAGCCTCATCCACCACCACGTTCCTGAAGCCAAGCTGATCGAGATGATCGGCCAGGAGTTGACCTATCTTCTTCCCAATAAGGGCTTCAAACATCGAGCGTATGCCAGTCTGTTCAGGGAGCTGGAGGAGACGCTTGCTGACATGGGCCTCAGCAGCTTTGGCATCTCTGATACATCACTAGAAGAGGTAGGGACATCGGCTGTCTCCGTCTGTTGACATCACCCACAACTTGTGTGGCGCCTTAATGCTGCATTTACCCTGCATGAAAAGATGGTAAATAAAAGCGTCCAGAATATATCGATTTTTCAGCTTTGTGAATTCTGATATGATTAACAAGAAAACACTCATAGCCAGGTTAAATAAAAACACGTCATCTTTTGATAATAACTTTTACAATTACAAAGCAGGATACAACCACTTCTGGAGTATTTTTGTCAGTAGATAAAGTACAAGTTGCTTTTGTTTATTACTGTTTCCTTAACGTCTTGTTTTCTTTACCACTAAAGGTGAAAAAGTCTGCTGCTACAATAAGGTTATTTCAGTTTTTTAAAATACAGATCAATTTGTTAAATCATTTCCATGTATACAATGAACTGCAGAGTCCTGGTTTTGAATTTGCCCGAGGACTTTTGTAGCTCTCTCTCTCTCCCTTAATTTCGGTTATCTCTCTGCTATCACTGTCTCATAAAATGCTGAATTGATAAATACATTCCCTATAAATGAGACTCAGTATTTTAATACAATAATAAGGTTACTGCACTAAAAACAGGGGGAAAAAATACCTTAAATTTTATGCAATTCTTGAAACAAGTTGATTTGTTTTGGAAACAGGTTGAAGTTATCTTCCCAAACTGACAGATTATTTCAGTCATTTAAAGAAAACAATAGCCGTGTGAAATAAACTCATAATATATGTGATGACAGTTGTGATTTTTAACAGAATTGTTTTCAAGTTTAATAAAGTCAAAATATAAACTTACATCATATTACTTCTGAACTGAAAGGATGAACTCTATATTTAATGCATGAAAAAGTTTTGACAGTCTAAGGAAGTTCTGTTTTTTCTTCCCAGATCTTCATAAAGGTCACTACTGATGGAGAAGCTGCGAATAATGCCACCACTCCTGGTAAATATCACCACTGATAGTCCACATGGCCTTTTCCTGGAATAGCATCTCTGACCCGCTGTCCTTTATGTCTAACATGCTGTTAATCGTATTGTCTCACAGCTGTTTTTATTGCTGCAGTTATTGTTGTTCATTCCCTAACTTTAACTTTAGCTACTTGTCTTGTATGTACATGTGGTGTGATACATCATTTGTCAGTTTTAACTGTCTAGTGTGTGTGTGTGTGTGTGTGTGTGTGTGTGTGTGTGTGTTTTGTGTCTCTCCTGTGCACTCCCACCCCTAGAACAGTGGATGTTACAGCGGAGAAAAAACAACGGCAAAGTTGATGTAGAGGGAGATGAAGGTCAGAGACTTGAAAGCAGAATTTTGGCAATTTAAGTTGTTTTAAATAAAATCTGCTGGACTTGGGTCAATCAGTAGAAGCAAGAATAATTAGTTTTTTGGATTTAAAGTTACATTTTTGACCATGTATGCTTCTCTGTGACCGATTTAATGGCATTATGTGTAGTAAGCACCTGGTACTCTAAGCAGTTTAAGTGATCTAGGTCTGAAATCTACAGCAGATGTGCTGCTTGTATAGTTTAAAAACAAAGCAGGAATGCATCCGGTATTCTTCGTCTCTATTTAGAAAGGCTTTTCTGCTGTGCTTTATATTAAAATTCCTACATTTACTCACATTTATGATTTGTCAGCTATATAGAAACAAATCGAAAACCTCAGATGAGTTTAGGTGCTTTGGTCAGTGGAATATACCACTGCCTCTCTGACAGAAAAAAGAAATAAAACGATTTACAGAACTGTTCTCTTTGATCACAGAACACAATGGTGTGATGCGGACTAACGGCATTACCCACGGTGCATCAGACAGCAGTGCAGGAAAGGGCTCCAGGCAGGTTAAAGGGTGCACTCTGATCCTGAAGCAGTTCCATGCACTGCTAGTGAAGAGGTTTCACCACTCCATAAGAAGCCAGAAAGACTTCCTGGCACAGGTAAAGGGACACAGCGATGAGTGGATTGATGGTTATGGTTATGGATGTTGTTGAGGTGAAGTGTTGACATCTGGATTAAGTGATGTATGGACTGATTGCATTTAAATTATTAGGACTGATTGCATTTAAATTATTAGATCTAGTAAAAAACACAATACATATGGCAAATTTGTGAGTACACATATTGTACTTTTAGTAATAATTCAAGCTGTGTATATTTTATTCATGATAGACTTGTATTTTTGGGGATTTCAGATCATCCTTCCTGCCAGTTTTGTCCTAATAGCGCTGATCTTCACCATGATCGTCCCTCCGTTTGGAGAATATCCAAGTCTGACTCTGTCCCCCTGGATGTACGGACAACAGTTCACCTTCTTCAGGTCAGACCGAGGCAGTTCTCCAAGACACTATCTCTAGACAAACCATTTGTTATATATCACATAAACACTGACATTCCTGACAGATTGTTGGTGATTATTGCTTATAGTTCTTCAGTTCAGTGGCTTGAACTTGAATTTCTTCTGTACAATTTTTTTATTCCTATTTAGTAACGAGCAACCATTTGACCCCAAAATGAAACGCTTCACAGAGCGTTTACTGAGCAGACCAGGCCTGGGGACACGCTGCATGGCAGGAGAACCACTAGAGTGAGTATCAGGACTATTGATAGGATCTATTACACAAGAAAATCTCATTTCCAGAATTCAAAATGACTGGTGCAGAAATCCTGCAACATGCAGTCAAACATTTGGAGTTCATACAGACTGAGAATGTTTAAATAGAAATACAGAATTCTTACCTGCTAACATTAAATTCATCTGAAAATGACACTGAAGTTTGAACATCCAGTATACTTTCACATTATCATGAAGGCATCACATACCTTTTTGCTTTTCTCCACTTATCTCTCCACAGAATGCCCTGTAGTAACAGTACATCAGAGTGGGAGAATCCTGACGCCTCTCCTGTGGTCAGCAACATCTTACAGAGTCCAGAGTGGAACCAGAGAAACCCGTCTCCTTCCTGCCAGTGCAGCACCAGTAAGAAGCTCACCATGATGCCCATCTGTCCCATCGGAGCAGGAGGCCCGCCCCCTCGCCAACGAATCGAGGCCACGGGAGACACGATGCTGGACCTGACGGACAGGAACATCTCTGACTACCTGGTTAAAACCTACGCCAGTCTCATCAAGACCAGGTAGGTTTTTTTGCATTCAAATGATACAAACTGTAGGAATTACAAGTGTTTTAAAACCCTCAAAGGGCTTGAAAACCAAATCAAAAAGTTGTTTAAGGTGACAGAAAAATATTTCTTCAAACTCTGCTGATGATGATGCTGCAAACAAAATACACACATTCCTCTCTGTTTAGTTAATTCTGTATTTCATTTCACAGTTTGAAGAGCAAATACTGGGTGAATGAACAAAGGTAATAATAGGTGTTTTATTGTTATCAGTCACGGTCTCCCTCTTGTGTAGTGGATGTTGGGATACTGCGTGTAAATATTCTCTGCCCTCAGATATGGAGGTCTGTCAGTGGGAGGACAGCTTCCCATCCTGGACGTCGACCCCAAAGACATCCAGAATGTTTTCAATCAACTGGGACGAATGCTCAACATCACAGCGGTACTCGCTGTTCTTTTCTGTTTGGTCATGAGTGTAGTGTGTGTTAAGTCCAGTTTATAAAGAGCATTTTCTTTCACAGGGTTACTATTCTGGACTTGCTCTGAGGGAGATTGGTCCTTTCTTACGATACATGGAAAGTGAATTCAATGTAAAGGTATGTAGGGGGAAGGACACGGGAGCGAGGTTTTCTGCAAATGGCAAACCAGCAAGTGGTAGAAATGAAGTGCAAACACTCGCTAGTTTGACGTCTACCTTCGGTGCTTTGCTTTTGTATTACAGTTTATAATGTCTGTCATATCACAAGGACGTTGACTGAGTGGCTGTAAATGCTTCCTTTTATAGCTTTGCTTTCCACTTAAAGTAATGGAGGTTTTATATCAGGGAGGTCAATCTTTCAAGCCCCTATATTGTAGATCGGGACTGTAATTATCACAGAAGGTTGTATTCAATTAACTCTGTTCTCTGTCAGGTGTGGTATAATAACAAAGGCTGGCACGCCATGGTGGCCTTCATGAATGTGGGCAATAACGCCATTCTGCGGGCCTTCCTACCTCCATTTGCCAAACCTGTCGAGTTTGGCATCACCGCAATCAACCACCCCCTGAACCTCACCAAAGAGCAGCTCTCCGAAGTCACAGTGTGAGTGTTACTCTTTATATTTTAAAATGTATTTTATTTATTTTTTGTATATACAATATCATAAATAAAAAAAAAGTATATTTAATATTATTATTATTATTATTCTGAGCAGCTACAACTCTGAGCTCTTACCAGAATGTACAGTACAGACTTTATCTGCTTTTTCCCTCAGGTTGACCACTTCAGTAGACGCTGTGGTGGCTATCTGTGTTATTTTCGCCATGTCCTTCATCCCTGCGAGCTTCGTCCTCTACCTCATCCAGGAGCGCGTGACCAAGGCCAAGCACCTGCAGTTTGTCAGTGGGGTCAGCCCTTTAGTGTACTGGGTGGCCAATTTCTTCTGGGACATGGTACGTTAACAGGGTTGCCTTCAATACTAAATATAAGGCATCCTCTTAATGTTAAAATTCATCATAGAATTTTCCGTTTTTTAAATCATTTCAAGCAATAAAAAGTTTATTTACATATCTTATTAGTCGACAAACTCATAGGATATATGTTGTGGGTTGTTCCTTTGAGTGAATTTGTATCTTAGATTTTTCTGTTCATTATCGTATTGTGTGAACGCTTCATGTCTCCCTTAGGTTAACTACTTCCTCAGCACTGCATTGGTGGTTGGCATTTTCATGGCTTTCGACAAAAAGTGCTACACATCACCATCCAACCTGCCAGCACTAATAACTCTGCTTCTACTATATGGGTAAGACTTCGCTTAGTTTAATACAGTTCAATTTTGTTTTTCCCTTAAAAACATAAAAACAATAAAATACAAAGAGGACATGAAAAGGAAACTCAGGTTGTGCAGGTGAGTTAGTGTTATAGTGTGAGAGCACCCAGTGGGCCTTATTAGGATATCTCAACAGCAAGGACATTTATAGTGAGAGGACAAAATGCATAAATAACATGAAAGGGAGGTGAAAAACAAGAATTTTTATGGCTGGAATTTCTCTTTAAATGTTTCTTTTCTCTGTCTTATAGGTGGTCGGTGACGCCCATGATGTACCCCATGTCCTACATATTCAGTATCCCAAGCACTGCGTATGTGTCGCTGTCCTGCATCAACCTGTTCATAGGCATCAACAGCAGCGCCATCACCTTCATCCTGGAGCTCTTTGAAAACAATCGGGTAAGAGCATATAGACTAGGAAATATTGAAAGAAAGAAAGAGTTTCAACGCACAGCTAAGGCAATTCATTTCTGCTCACATCAGCAGGCCATTTTCACAGCAGCCATTTTGACACGTCATTGCGGGGTAAACACAGGTGTAATTAATATCATTAATTGGTCCTGTTCCATTTAGGTGGGCCAGGGCCCTAGTATTGGGCATTCTGACTCACTGGAATGGTTTTGATACACTAAATAGAATGGGACAAAAATGAATTAAATCAATTACATCTGTGTTTACCCTGCTATGACATGTCAAAATGGCTGCTGTGAAAATAGCCTATTATCCTCAAAGGTTCCAGAGAGCAGTCAGATATATGATAGTTAGGATCTACATCAGGTTAATGTAAAAGCAGACTGACAGAGGCAACAAAATCAAAGTGAAGCCCAAAATGGCAATAGGTCCTTTCATAGAAGAAGAAATAGGTACACACAGACTAATTATTAATAATAATTAGATTAATAATGTGGTGCAGCTGCGGAAGCAGAAGGGTTGAAGATGAGTCACAGGTGTGCAGACTTGTTGGATCGGTGACGAATGGCTGGATGGAGCATAAAGCAGGAGGAAACAGAAGGTAGGGGGAAATGACACGGATGCTGCTGCTGTCAGGTGACTTCCTGCTCTGTCAAAAAAATGGAGATGGTTCTTATTACCAGATGGTTCTCTCCACTTCTCTGCTCTCATTGATAAATCCCTCAACAGCTGAGTCATGAGGGAACAACTGGAGGTGGCATGACCCATATGTTTGTTATGTCGATGCCTCCAAGAGTCCAAACTTGCTTCTTCGTCACTGACAGGATAACACAACTTTATTCACTCCTATCATTATTGGTCTGGGCATTTATAAACAAATAATAATCATTTTAGTTTTTGTGTAGCAAGTCACAATATGGTAATTTAGATGTAATAAAAGCTTATTATGTAATAATCAACACATAATGTAAGAAACTCATGAGTCTGTTTGGTCTCGGGGACATTTTCATGAATTAGTTACAGATTGACAAAGCCTTTACAGAGATGATGCTGAATGTAACATATGGGGTGATTCTTAGCATGCACGAGCACACAGAACCGCATCATCTCATGGAAAGGTTCTTATTTGTCCAGCTCACTACATATCTTACTGTCGTGAATGTTGACGTGTTTGCATGAGCTGTTCAAGCCTGGGTATAGGGCAATTAAGAACATTTCATAAGATACAATGCACATGTTGCATGAGAACACAATGCTGAGGTGATGATGCAATTATGCAAAATATTCAATGCAATACTGAGCTTCTGAAACGAAAGTTTAATTTAGTAAGAATTACATCAGCTGAATATTTGTGTATACCGCAGACGGTATATTTTTTAAATTGTATTTTATCATACCTGCACTCTAGTGAAATGTGTATTAAATGTGTACGTGTTTGTGTGTTTTGCCAGTCCTTGCTGATGTTCAATGAGTGGCTAAAGAAAGGTCTGCTGGTGCTCCCTCACTTCTGCCTGGGGAGAGGACTGATAGACATGGCCATGAGCCAGGCTGTTACTGATGTTTATGCCAGATTTGGTAAGTACCGTTATAGCTGATACAGTTCAAGTTCATAGTTTTAAAATATTATTGCTCTTCATAAACACTTTTGGGAGAATATTACATTTTGCATATGGAAATTGTTAAAGAACTTTTACAAAGTTGTACCTTTTGTTGATCAAAGTTCTAGCTGTTAATACTCGTCACAATGTAGATATTTGCGTCCAGCAAATGCTTAGTCATGTCAAATGTGTGAGTGTGGTAAAGAGTGAAGAAGGTCTTGAGTTATTGATGTCTCGGCTATCTGGAAAACTGTGTACAGCTTGTGACGTATAACAAATACTCACTTTGTACTGAACAAAGGGTTCAATGTCAGCATATGTATGTTTTCAGGTGAAGAGTACATACAGGACCCTTTCCGGTGGGACTTTGTCGGGAAATATATTGCTTTCATGGCAGTGGAAGGCTTTGTCTACTTTATTTTCAATGTACTGATCCAGTACCGGTTCTTCTTGAACCACTGGTAAGTTACTGTCCATTACACAGACCATACAAGTGTTCCTACACAGACATCTCAACCATTACACCAAAGTTTTGACCTTTCCATATGACCTTAACCAGGAAGATTTTTTCACAGAGGGTCAGAACTCATTCATACCTTTGAACAGATAAAAGTGTTGCACCAGATTTTTCTCCACAGATGATTTTCTTGCACCCTTCAGGTTGTCAGACTACACACAGACTTCAGTAAGAGATGAGGACGATGACGTGGCAGCAGAGAGGCAGAGAATTTATAATGGAGGGAGCAAGACAGACATCCTGCAGATCAGAGATCTCTCTAAGGTTAAACATCACTGGCTCAAACATGTCTGTTGTAATACCATCACTTTAATTGTATTAGCAACATTTCAACTCACTACAAGTCTTAATGAAACAGATTTTATTTTAAATATCAAGTATATCTATGTATTTTTTTTTTTTTACAAAGTCCTGCTAGAAAGACGCTCTGAATGAAAAGGTACTTGTGTCAAATATGGATTATTATGACATCTGAAATAAGAGTTCATAAACTGGGCAGCGTTATGTATTTTTTTGTTCTTTGTTCTATGGCAAATAGTTTGTATTTGTTGGGAGCGTAGGGGAAGGGTGTTTTAAGCCTCTCATCCCAGAATTATATTTTGTATCATTCATTCTGGGGTGGAAATATAGATGTGTTCAAGTCCATCAGCACCAATAGCAGCTCTTTTACTCCAAAACAGAGAGTGGCTGTTTTTTTTGCTTTTTTTTTTTTATTGGTTAGCCATACATTGATTTCATTATGAAAGTAACTAAAAGATTTAACCTCTCCCACTTCAATCATTTTCATACAGTCCGTAACAGCAAAAATGCAAAATAATTTATAGTGCAGACACATTCTTACATGCTGAAGACAAAATACAAGGAAAAAAGAAAAGGAGATATTTTTAGATATAAGATATTTGATTGTTTTTACCTCTTATTCTTTGCTATTGTTTTAAACAGCATACCACACGAATGGAGTTGGTTATAATTGTTTCCATGCTTTCTGTGCACAGACATATGTGGGCAGGAAGAGGGCAGCTGTGGACCGAATTTGTGTGGGTGTCCCCGCCGGAGAGGTAAAGTCACAGAGTTCATTTCCATTGAAAGTTACTATTTTTAACTACTATTTATTTATGTTACTACAGTTTTCTCTTTTTGTGTTTGCTCAAGTAAACCTAAGTACTGATAAAGATGCCATCCACACTGTTAGAGATGCAGAATATATGCAGCTGTTGCATTGCAGCATCATTAACCACCTTAATGAAGTAGATTTACTGTGTAGCTGGTTTTCTTTTAAGTGTTCGTTATATTTCTGTTCTAATGTTGTCATGTTATTAATTAATACCTACATGTAAAGTGACAATTCTAGTCATTATATGAGGCCAAATAGAATATTGAAGTTTCAAAAGGATATCAGCAGTCATTCTCTATAATAGTGAGTGTGTCTCAACAGTTTCTTGTCAATATTTCAGCAGAATGTGTCCTTGCATCGCGAGCCTGATTGTCTTTTGTCCCGTTAGTGCTTTGGTCTCTTGGGAGTTAATGGAGCCGGAAAGACGACAACCTTCAAGATGCTGACTGGTGACACTGATGTCAGCTCCGGGGAGGCTACTGTGGCTGGTTACAGGTACATAAAGAGCAGTTAAAAATGTCCCTGGTCGCTATAACACAAAACTGTGTTTACAAAACTTTGCTCTTGGTTTATCCTGCACGCAGTTCCAGCAAACGGTCCGTTGAGTTAGAAAGTTTAAACACGGGAAGGTCAATCTGACAGTTCTGTTTGATGACTCTCTCTGACTATAAAACCAACACGTGTGGTACTCTTAAGTAGGGAAAAAGTTAGGAACCAGGGCTTAACCGAGCATTAGCTTGTGTAGCCTCAAATCAATTTTTGTAGTAGAACTACTGTGATTTTGGTGATAATATTCCATCTGATAAAAATCCAATTTTCACTCCAACTATTGGAACATTTCTCTCAGGGAAGTTAGCCTGTTAAACTACATGTGCACCATCATTGGACACTAAAACTCTTTTAAAACCCCATTAATGAAAGTCTGGGTTTATTTTTCGAACACTAAAGAAGTGAAAGTATTTCTGCTTTCTAATCTTGTTAATATGTTGTGATTTTACAGATGTATTGAGGGACTCCAGGTTGGAAATCATTGACCTTAAAATTTAACGGCAGTAATTTATGACTATAAATTTGACCATTACATGAATGAATAAAAAAATTAACAGGTTAAATTGTCTTTTTGCACTTTTGTTTTTGTTTTTGTTCAGTTTTTACATCATTTTGTTCAGAGGAATCTGCTTTCTCTCAGGTCTGGATTAAATGTTTTAAGTAATGACTACACAGTCTAAGCCCACTCTTTAGTTTTTCCTCATCATATTATTTGCTCTACTGGCTCACTGCAGCAAGCGGCACCTTGTGTCCTGTTTTGTAGCATCCGGACAGAGATTCTGGACGTGCACCAGAACATGGGTTACTGCCCTCAGTTTGATGCCATCGATGAGCTACTAACCGGCAGGGAGCATCTGTACCTCTACGCTCGTCTCAGAGGAGTGCCTGAGTCAGAGATCCCCAGAGTGAGTAGGACTCCAGCTGCTTTACATCTTCAACCGTCTAAAGATGTTTCATTCTGCTGTTTGGCTCAGCACTGCTTAGAGAGCTTTATATCTGCTTTGTTCATTTTGTTTTTGTTTGCTGCATTGTCTCTGTACTGTTGCTCCGTGTTCTCTACAGTTTGATTTGTCATTTTTATTTTGCTTTATTGTTATTGTTATGAAGGGCTCAGTTAACATTAGGGGTCGCCCATCCTAAAAATGGCATGATGTGAATGGATGTTTCCACCAAATGCATGCCCCCCTCCCCCCCCTGTAGGTGGCAGAGTGGGGCATCCAGAAGCTGGGTCTGACGGAGTATGCCGGCCGCTGTGCGGGGACATACAGTGGAGGCAACAAGCGCAAACTCTCCACAGCTATCGCAATGATTGGTTGCCCGGCGCTGGTGCTGCTGGTGAGTTGGCCAATGATGGCGAGCTCACGAGCCCATTGTTTGGCTTTCTGGGCTTTGTGCAGGGATTTATCAATGAAATGGTTTATGGATCCAGATGGGAAGCCATATGGGTTCGGTCAAGCCTGGCCTCAAATGTTTTATACATTGGCAGACGACTGTGCAGTTCAATTCAAACTAGCGTAAATCTGAGATCTTTGCCATATGCTGATAGAGATAAGGATTTGGTCTCTGTTCATATGGAATTATGTGCTCAGAGAGTCAAGTTTGTTGTTTGTGTTGGCTGTGTGTGTTTAGGATGAGCCCACGACAGGGATGGACCCCCATTCTCGACGCTTCCTGTGGAATGCCATCATGAGTGTCATCCAGGACGGCAGGGCCGTGGTGCTAACATCACACAGGTTCAACATCCAATAATGAAATGAATCCACACATACATCTGCTATGGCAGCTGACCAAACAGTGTTAACTTTTCTGCCAACATCTGTTAATGAAGTCTTGACTAAACTGGCATTTGCTTTGATTTACCATATATATCTATAAATAGTGATTCATTGCTCATAAATATGAAATGGCAGCAGTAAAAATAAAGATGGATTATGCTTGTTTTCCACCAGTATGGAGGAGTGCGAGGCCCTCTGCACTCGACTTGCCATCATGGTCAATGGGAATTTCAAGTGTCTGGGTACCATTCAGAATCTCAAATACAAGTAAGAGGTTTGATAAATAATAAATAAAGGCTTCTCTGCATCACGGTGCAGAAAACATGAAGCATAAAATGCATGTTTCAAAAATAATTGAAGTTTTCTGCGGGTAAAAATCCATTCAGACTTTGAAAATACTAACAATATGAAGTTGCACAACAACTTTAGGGGATAAATACACCTAGTCTAAGTTGAGGTTATTGATAACAAGTTGAATAGAGGTAGAATAAATGTATATGAGAATTAAATGGAATTTGTTTTAATATCTTCACACTGTGTTTTCTTGATCCAGATTTGGTGACGGCTACGTAGTGACCATGAAAATCAAGGCAGCTAAAGCGGGCTTGTCCCCAGATCTGGAGCCTGTCGAGAGCTTCATAGAGAGCAGCTTTCCTAGCTGCGTTCAGAGGGAGAAGCACTACAACACGCTGCAGTACGAGATCGCCTCCTCCTCCCTAGCCAGGATATTTCAGCTGGTGGTGGCCAATAAAGAGAGACTCAGCATCGAAGACTACTCTGTTTCCCAGACAACACTGGACCAGGTATGTATGAACCAGTCTCACCCTGTGTTCAATGCATGTAAGGGAATCTGTCCTGATAACATTATGACTATGAATGATGGTGTGAGAAATAAAATGTAAACCCCTGTGAGAAGTAGAAATCCCCCTGAGTAGGGAATGAGAAATGTATTTCATTATCTATTGTCTTGGAAATGATTGTGTAAGAGCGCATGATGAATATTTAAGTTAAAGTCATTCATATAAGGATTTGTTTTTATTAAAAATACTATTCATCAGTATGAATAGGGGAAAAACAAAATCAAGTTTGCTATGAATTATTGAGCGGTTGTGATTGATTTATTGTGTTTGGCCTAATGTTTGTGAAAAGAATAACAATTTAGTTTTGTCGTCCATACTTGATTGTTTGAGATGAGCTGTTTTGTTTGTTGTGTTTATGTAACTATAGTGTGTATAAGTGTCTTTGACTGTATCTGTGTGGACCCCAGCAAGGACCCCAGTGCTTATGCGAGTGCTAATAGGGATCCTGATAAAGAAAGGAACTGGTCATTTATTGACTTGAGGCAGTATATATATTTTATTTTCATTTTGTACTGAATCAGTTTGTCTGTTGTGCAGGTGTTTGTCAACTTTGCCAAGCAACAGACAGGAGAGGACGAGGACATGACTTTACACAGACGAACAGCAGGTGGAAGAAAAGACATCAAGATCTCACCGGTGCAGAGGAAGACATGAAAATGTCCCGTAAATGTAAAGAAACACAGATGTAAAGGTGCAGTGATATAACTTTCTACATTCCACAATTCAAAGCCACTTTTAATAATTCACTAGCCGAATTGCATTTTAGAATAGAGACAAGTTTGGCCTGTTTACCTGCCAAAGTGACTGGTAGAACAGTTGATGTTTCCAGCCACAGACAAACTTTACAAACAGGAATTAATCTTCCATGATATCATCAAAAACCCAAGTATGTCTGAAACATTACTTAGACTTGAAATCATATGTGTTAACAGCAGAAACAGCAGCTTCTTCATGTAAAATATTTTTTAAAAAGAGATTTTTTTCTTAGATTGACTGGCTTGTAAAACTTTGTACATATTCTCTCTTTGTGTAATGAATACTTAGAAGCAGTATTTTTTACATTAACGCACACCTCAATTTTATGTGACGCATATAAACAAAAGTCCTTTAATGTTGGTTCTCTGTTTTTTCCAAAACACGTGTACTATTGCTTGCTTTCTTTTCAGTAATCCACTGTTGTGCATTTAAGTATTTATGTGTATGCCCTGTTTCATACATTGACATGTTATGTTGTTCTCCAGTGTCGGTACAAAATAGTGCAAAATATTCCTCTTGAAGGATCCAATTTGGGGGGAAAAGGCATTTAAATAAATATAGCTGTAGATAACGAGGAATTATATTTTGTATCTGACCAAATAAAACTTCATATTTTATGCTCTTGGCTAGCTGATTGTTACTGCATCATCATTCCCAAATAAAACAGTCCGGAGTTTCCTAATGTAATATGCATGTGTGCAATATTTCTTGAAAATATTCCTCAAATAATTCAGCCCTCTCTCTCATAAAACTACTGGATTCTACTGCATTTAGTGAGATGAAGAGTTGATGACTTTTCACTCCCATGACCTGAAATAACGCCAGCTAAGAAAGCTACTGCAGTCCAGTGGAGAGTACCTTCACACCGAGGCCATTGTGCTGAGTGGCTTGTCACAACCTGTATTTTTTCTGACATAAGATCCAATTACTGTTGTCCTGCCGCAAGTGATGGTGTCATAGCCTCAGGCAGCCCACCGGCCTGAATTTCATTGGCTACCTCAAAGAAACAGAGGGATGATGGCAGGGTGCAATTCAGGGCTGCTAATGAATTCTCTGGTGTGAATCTCATGCTCCTCTCCTGCCCATATGGTCATCTGGATGAAGCTGATGAACATGAATAGTGCCGCTGTGGGAGAGCAAATGAGTCACACTGTAACAGGCTGTGAAATGTGACTGTATACTGCTAAACACTGGGCTAATTGCACATTGTGTTATCCATTTCATAAGAACTAAAACCTATTGAATCAGTATTGTAAATGTGCACAAATATTAACACCATTGTGGTTCGATACGGTTGAACACAAATATATAATTCTACACAAACTAATTTTTGCATGAACTCAAGTGAAAATTGTGGGATATTAAAGTGCTTTTTTTCTACAATGTGCAAGTGGAGCTTAATCATAAATTCAGTGCATGGACTTATTAATATTACTCACACAGCATTATACCATATACAAGCCTACATGGTCACACCTTGCATGGCCACTTGCAAAGCTACACAATAGTGGTTCATCTGAGTATATTGATTGAATTAACAAGGTTGAATTTGGTTTCTCATAAACACATATTTCATTTCATTTTCTAAAGGAAGAATGTGTTATTTCCTCTCAACATTTATGGAAACGTGCTTGCTTTGAGAGAGAGAGAGAGAGAGAGAGAGAGAGAGAGAAAATTGAGGCATTAGCTTAAGTTAGCTTAAAGACACAAGGCACAAACTCCCTTCTAAAACCACAAATTGTCATCTTTATATTTCTTTTGATGTACAGATTAAACACAAAATAATTAAGTGTTAATAAGTAAGCTTTATAGATGCTGGAGGAGAAAGCCCGACTAGCCAAGGTCAGGAATCAATACATCAACAAAATGTCCAACCTGTATTTGCAATTATTTCTAATATTTTTGTATTTCATACACCCAGTGATAGACATACATGTAAACGTATTAACCCAATTAACTATATGTGCATATTTACATTCATGCATGCATCCAGATAAACCGACGTCCACATTTATAAATAAACTAAAAGCGTTATTATGCTAAGTGCTCCATTTGACACACCATCATCTCTGTCAGCTTAATGCATCTATCATTAAATGACGTTTAATGAAATGGCTGTGTTAAGAAAGGAGCAGTACTACAGCTACAAAAGGAAAGTTAGGGGAATGGGAATTTTAATAGAAATTAACTTACAGATGCCGCCTAAATTGAAGACTTAAATGAACAGAAAACTGCCTAATTCACATAACTTAATTAACCAAGAGAGGTCCAATCTCATTCAATATCAAATATGAAACACAAATATATGCTACAATGCTGGTATGTTGAAGTAGAGAGAAGAAAGAGTTCATCCTACAAAACTGATCCCTAAGGACTTGACAGGACCACAGACTTAATTAACATGTTCGGCCTCAGCTCACCCTCAGAATCACCCTCTATAGTACCTCCACCTACTTATCACAAGCAGCTAATCCATCCAAGACGCCCTGCTTTAGATCAATACACATGAAGTGAACTATTTGATCAACTGTGTTTATTGCTAAATCCATTCTACACAGCAGCGATTGCTATAAAACTGTCTTGTCTCCGCCTTGTCCATTTTGCCTTGTCCAATTTAATACTTTTTTTATTCTTTTTTTTTTTTTTTAGCTTGTAAGCCAGTGCGGCGGATATTTTGGGTCATAAGTTTAATTGGGGCCATGGTTGAGGGATGGAGTCCAAAAAGGTTACTTGTGTATAGCTACAGAGAGCAGGCAAAGAATAAAGCTTTGGATGAGAGACAAAGTTGCTGTCCAAGTTATGAGCCGAAAGGGGGGAAATTCTGCATTTAGGTTGGAATGCGTGAGTCGAAGATATATATATATATATAGATATAT